AGGTACTGCTACTGGTCGATTTGTTTGGAATTACTTTTAATTTTTAAAAGGTTGCTTATTTCTTGATAAGCCTATCAATACCACTTCAGATTGTAATGTACCAGAAAAGTCATCACATTTTTTTTAAACCATTTTTCCTCCGAAAGGGTAATTGAGTTTTTCATAAACAAGGTGAATCAAGGTTTAATACTGAAATCAAAACATTACGTGTTCAATCAAGTATATAAAAAGCCTGTCAACAACATTTTTAAATGTTTATATTTTGTATGTTAGGAACTATAAGACATCCTGTGCCATTTTGATTAGGTCTTAAATTGAATTAAGATACAATTCCCAAAAAAGCGGAAATGGCTTTTTGGACAAACTTTCTTCCGTTCCAGAGAACTTATAGGAAATTGCTTTGTTCACCGATAAGCACAAATATAAATAAAGCAAAGTTGATACCAACATTGCGCATACGCCATGTGCTCAATGTCGTCATAGGAAGCGATTTGTTTATCGATTTTCGAGTGAAGCCCCACACCCCTTTTCCATTTATATTTTATTGAATGCCACACAGGACACATAAAACACTCACGGGGCCATAAAAAATGTATTAAATAATTCCCAGAAGCGTAATAGAAATTTATTAACAAATCATATTAAAGTTATATGTATAACTTTGTTTTAAAATGTTGATACATAGATTCAATACCATTATGTGGAGAAAGACAAACCCAACACATCACGCTCGATCGCTGCGATCGTCTTCCTTCTTCCATAAATATAAAAAAAAAAAACACTTTTGATTAGACCAATCCCCGAAATAAAAACCCAGCCCAACGGCACGTCCCAGGTTGATATGTCTTCCTGTTTTTTTGGCACTGCCTTACATCAATCTAATTTACGTTTATGTGGCCACAATACGAAATGGCAAAAAGTTCTAGATGTTCGCGCATGGGGCACGTAATTGAATGCGAATCGCTTAATTTTCTATGGATTTCTATTCATTTTTATGGCCTGACCGCAATTATACAATACATTAAGGCGGCATTAACATTTCCGGTCCGTCGAAACGAAACATTGGTTATTACAAGACCCACACACACGTGTTTCTTTCCGAAAGCCGAAACTGAACTCAACTTAAAACTTAAACCGAAAACTGAAAACCGAAAACCGAAAACCCCAAACCCAAAAGCCGGGGGGCTGCGGAGAAAAGTTCGTTAGCACCACCACCCCGCTCGTAACCCCGGTGGAGCCATTAAACCCATTAGGGAAACTCGTTTCGTGTATTTGTGCGCCGCACTTTTGGGGTCTTGGGAAAATTTCCACTCAATTTTTGTGTTGGATTTTATTTTTTTTTGATTTTGGAAAACTTTCATGCGAAACTCGCCGAGTATCAAGACATTTTTTGTGTATTTGTAGTTGAAAATGTATCCGTATCTGCGCAGCACACACGCATGCGTCGAATGCGCGTCGTCATCATCGGTTTAAGTTTAGGTTTACAGCTGTTGCCATGCGCACAAATATATTGGCATTCGTCGCTTTGGTCCCCTTTTCTCAGGATACCCTATAATATAACATGTCGTCAGGACGTGTGACACTTTTCAAGAAATTACTTTTTAGGTATAAGAAAATCTGTTTCATTTAACAAAAGTATAAGACTATTATAATCTTGTATATGCGATGATAAAATCTAGTAATTCTTGCTAAAATAAACTGTTAAAATATGAAATTTTATACCATATAGATAGATACTATAGAGTATACCAAGTTTGCTGTGATCTGCGTAAAGTTTCGCTTGAAGTTTCCCCCATTGTTCGGTTCGCTGTGATGGTCTTCCCTTAATGATCCGCTTCAGTTGGCTCCCCTATATACCATGTATATTCGCTCTTAATGTCTCGTTTCCTTGCCTTTTTTCCTTTCGCTGGGATCTTTACTTTTTATATATGTATACCAATATATATACCCATATCTGCACACTTATTTATGCTTATATGTGCACATATCTTCGTTGGAACCCATTCAACTTTGGCGCGCTACATTCTCTGTGTTGCTGGCTGCTAACTTGAATGAATATGAATGAATCGTATTTAGCTATTTGATGATTATCATATTGATAGTGATGATGCAGTTGATGAGTTCGGTGGCCACAAAAATAGAATGCATTTCCGTTTTGGCAAGACGGCAAGAAAATCGGCAAAAAAAAAAGAAAAAGGGGTATTGAAGGAGGGGGTACAGTGGAGCCTGGGGTGATTGCACACACGTGCCCACAACGATTTTAAGAACTTGTCGCCTTTATAAGCCTTTTCCCAAACTGGTTTTTCGCAGTATTATCATTCCAATTCCGATTCCGATTCGTATGCCGATTCATCGCAATTCAGTGCGGCGCCTCCATAAATCACACGCCCTAATTGACGATGAGCGAGGGGGCGTGACCAGCAGTGAATTTCACGATTTTGCATTCGCCTAAATTAATATTACCAAGAAATAACAACAAATTACCCCATAATTTCAAAGAGTTCTCCCACTCTCTTCTTGAGAATGCACAGGGCAAAAATTGGTTTGATTAGACGTTTTTCTTGTAGATAAATTTGATTATAATGGAAATTGATAAGAAAAACTCCATAGCTTTTGATATTGTTTACTGATCATATCTGTATATATCTGTATATATCATACGCAATCTTAGTTGGAAAAATTCAAGTTTTCGCCATGCTTTTTTTCCGGTGTGGTGGGTGGTGTTGGCGGGGGCTTAAAAGGGGGCGGGACGGGCGGTTCGGGCGGTACGCACATGGAGCGGCGCTAGGCACGAACTGGTACCTGTTTCGCCCAGTCGTCATTTTGACTGTCTTTTGCTCGTCTTGTGCTTTTTGACAGACTTTTTTGTTTTATTCCTCTATAATTTATACTTATTTTGTTTTTTTTTCCTTTTTATGCTTGTGATTTCTGTATTTGTTGTTTCTGGGACTTATTTCTCGCCATAAGCAACAAATTGCCGAAATTCCAAGATTCATTTATGATCCACCCAGTGAAAGCGAACCAGATGATGAACTTTTCGTTTATGTGCTCGTTGGCTAAAAATACCGGCAAAAGTTCTTATTGAGTGTTAAAATTCACACGCAAACATGAAAGACTTCACGAAAATAACAAAAATAATTTTTATTTTGACCAAAAAGCAAGGAAAAATGGGGAAATACTTGGAAAAACAATTTTTTTTGGATAGCATTTTTAGGAAGCCGTAAATTGCAGCCAGTAAATTAGACATTTATAAATTGAGTTTGCCAAGAAGTAGATAATGTTTTTGATAGTAAACCTTAAGCAACAGTAAACATTTGAAATAGAAAAGTAAAACTTTAATGCCTGAAATAAGAAACTTCAAAACATAATAAAATAGTCCCCCAAAATCAATTAAGATTTAAAATTATAATGAAACTAACATCTCGAAATCTTAAACCAAAATGCATACAAGAAACTATAATCCAAACGAGTTGTTCCACTCACACAGCAATGAAATTTGCCGGTTGCCTTTAGTTTTATTTAAAAATACTTAAACTGGATTTAGCCGGTCAAACACCGGCTTCTTTATAATAGGTATGCGTACATCTAAATGCGGCGAGCATGATTTGCCTGCCCTATTAGTCCACTCACTCCGAACCGCGGCAAATTATCAGGAAAGGAGGTTTTTGGGGTTCGGGGAAAAAAACATGGGATCACATGGCCCTGTAGATTTCTGTTTTTCGGGCATTGGGCACCTTGGCAGTTGACGTAGTTGCTGTGGAATATTATTATCAACATGTTATCGGAACAGTTCAAGACACTTTCAAAACAAACAAAACATTTGCACAAAAGTATCAAAATTTTTGCCGTTTGTTTCGCTTCGTTTTTTCTTTAGCAAACACAACCAACACACTACCAAACAAAATCGAATCGAATCGAGCTAAATTTTTTCCTAATCCTTACAAAAGCGGGGAAAAGCGCAAAAATTGCATACATTAATGAAAAGGTTTAGAATCGGCTAAGACTTGCTAACTTCGGGCATTCGAAGAATACAAAATTATTTTTAAAGCCAGATAATACCAATACAAACGCATGGGTAGCGCAGTTAAAAGTGGTCTGATTTTGACAAAGCTGGGTGTTATCTTTATAAAAGTTAAAAAGCGTTCGTGTACCAAGCTGAATAATATCTATCTGAATATCTAAACGAACTAGTTGCGCCGATCTGGTGTGATCTGACTTAAAACGATCGTGCTTCTGATCGATTTTTTTTCACACTTTCCACATTGTAATACCCAAAGCACACTCTTCGATTCCGATGCCCATGCATATGGCTTATACATTATTATACCACCCATACCCCATACTATACCTTATCTAAGTAGGAAGCTTGTAGGGGGCACGTGGTCAAAACGTGGTCGAAAAGCCCCACAAACACAGTGCGACTTGGCCTAGGTTTTATTTTCCGACACCCAGCGAAAGAGTCGGCAACAGAGATATAGAAAGAGACGGCCAGTAGCGATGAATTCGCTGTATTCCCGCTTTATCAGCGGATGATTCACTGTGTCGTCACCGAAATGTGAATTGAACGACTCTGTCTCTGGGGTTTTTTCACTGTATTATTCTTGGCGCCCAGCTTTTTGTTTATATCGCGAGCGTTCGCTAATCGCGCCATTTAGTTGGCTTTCAACTGCAAGTGCAGTCGGTTTGTGCTTAGGGTCCCGTTTCCCCCCACAAGATATATACATAAAACCACAAAAATAAAAACAAACAAACAAATAAACAAATAAAGACAAAGTTCTTGTTTTCAAACCAATTGCAATTAATTCGAACGCGTTTATGTCTGCAGCGGTGCGATGCATTTCTTTCTCGAAGATTTCTTGCAAGTACATCTATTTAAGATTTGTAAGTTTCGGCTTTGAGAAGTACTTCATTATCATTATAGTATTGTGTTTGTAATTGAACAGTTGGAAATGTGAAAAAAATAAAAAAAAAGACTAAAATGTTTCGTCTCCTTCTTCCAGATGATAAAATGCAACGTTGCAACCAGAACAACGGCAACAGCAACATCCAAACGACTAGCAACACCAGCGGCAGCGGCAACAACAACAAGCGCTGCCCACCGAAGTACACCGGCAACAACCTAGCAGCAACCACAAATGGCATGATGGCCTACCAACAGCAGCATCCACAAGCTGCGGCAGCAACACTGCAGCACGGCAGCAGCAAGCATGCCACTCGCAGGGGCCGCTATAACAACAGCAACAAGCAACACCAGCAACAGCAATTCGCGAATATTCAGAAGCGGAATGGAATCCCTGGGATCACCGGAAGTGAGTCCTCATCCTCGCCCTCGACAGCCACTTCCACCTGGCTGGAGCGGGGCTACGGACATCGGTTGGCCAATTCTTCATGCATCGAAGGTGAGTTCTTATAAACAAATACTATAACAATACTGTAACAACCAGATGAATACTATAGTTTATGATAGAAGCATACACGGTACCCATTCCCAAAAAAACAAAGAGCTTAGTAATATAAACTTTTCGCATGTCCAACATATTTAGTAAACAATGCAAACCAACTACAAATCAGCCGAATCGGCGATTAAACAAATCGCCTGAGTCACTTAAGAAGCATTATTTGGTTACGAATTTCGATTTCGATGGTTCTACGGGGTTTTAGTCAGTCTTACACCCACATGCATGTATTACCCATGTGTACATATCTTGGCTCATGGGTATCGTAATAAAGACGACGGACCCCGGAGACGCTGATTCACGATTTCGCTTTGTTTTTAATAAAATTCCAAGCAAATCGGGGCGGCATCTATAGTGAATCACTCCCAGACGCGAATTTAACGTCATCGCCGCTAACGGCAATGAAAACGGGAACGGGAATTCGGATCGGATCGAATCGGGTATGTGGCACGGGAACGGGAACTAAACGGGTATTCTGAGAACGTCATTGCCGATTCGATCTATATATTTCTGGGTCAGTGGGTGGATGGGCGTTGGACCTGACATTTATTACGGAAATATCTCGGAATTGGAGTGGCCTCCTTGTCGAAAAATACCGCCAGTCATAATAATAAGCACACAGGCGCAAAATTATTTAGAAACCCCCAGACTTTTTTTTAGAAAAAGGATTTGAATGTACACATCAGTTGGTATCGCAAAAAAATTGTATTCATATTTATTTTTGTGTACAAACGTTGCGATTACTGTAGGGGACAGCTCATTGTAATAATAATATTGGTAGGGTAGAACAAATATACAACTTAAGTGGTTTACCACCCTAAATTTTCCGTAATGCGTTTGGAGGGAGACTTATATAAAGCCCCATATCACTTCAAACTGGAAAAGACCACTCGAGCTGAAGCGATATCTATTTATGGTGTCAGTGGAAAGTTCTTATCAAAGTGGGTCTATCTATAAGTAGCCATTCGATGGGGGGTAAAACCTCGGTTACTAGCATTTCAATTAACTTGGAGATATCCGAGCACTTCAAGGGTAAATATATTTTTTTATGACTGTCACTGTCCACGAGACACCAGCTTTGTTCACAAATAAGAAAATTGCAGGAAATCTTCGCTTAAGCTTAATAGAAACCTTGTATCGGAACTATTCAAGTGGGATATTATGGATATGTATGCATAGAGATAGGGAGATGGAGAGCTCGACCGCCGCCTTTCATTCTTTTTTGCCCCTGGCTTTCGCTTTCGCTTTCGATCACATTAAAAATCAATTAAAAATTGGGCGGATCGACGAAAACAGAGGGGAAATTAAATAAACAAACAAAGGCATCTCCCTCGAGAAAGGCAGGCCGTTTAGGTCATAAAAATATCAGCAAACTATAATAAAAATTCAAATTCTTTGGCCAATTTTATAATTTATGCGCTCGGGGAATTACGTGTGATTTACAAAGGAGCTTTTGCTGGCCAACTCATTGATGGGCAATCATGATTGGGAACAGATTACTGATTAAAATTAGACACAAATCTATTGACCTTCATTTATTTGTTTATTAGAAAAATATATTACTATTTATAAATTGCTTTTTACATATTTGAACACAGATCTGTTCATTTTTAATATGAAACTTAAAAAAAAAATGTAATAATCAACACATATGGAAAAATTTAATCCTAACTGAACGATCATTAGTGATATTCTGACCTTTCACGATATTTGATTTATTGTCTGGGATTTTTGTGCAATTGTTTGGTGTTAGAACTTTCCATAATTCGTTTTTGGCATTGATCAGCAAAACTTTCCAGAATCAGGTCCAAATTTTTGTTGTTATCGTTGGACTAGAATCTAAACGAGAATTCGCTTTATAGGGAAAGCTGAGACGCAATAGAGAAGCAGCTGATTAGAGTTCAGATTTTTCAGTTCTCAGTCAGCTGGCGCCTCTTAACCATTTGGTTTTGTTATTTGCTTTTTTCTGCCGTATCAGGTGTATTATTGGTCGTAGTATCAGTTGTCGATCGATTTTGGTCAAACGATGAACTGATAATCGATGTGGACCCGAACTGAACGTACGTATTATGTACAAACGTGTGTTTTTACTGACAATCATTACATAACCGATCGTTTTGTCATTCATTAGCACTTGGCTGGAAAGAGGTGGTCGAGAACCGATTTCAGAGATCTGGGATCTCTGGGATTGCGCGAAATTGGCACCGCGACGTTAAGTGCCAAAAGTAATACGAAACAATCCGTTGGGGTAATTAGAGTAAACATATTGGGAAGGACAATGGGGTACTCTTGATGCTTTTGAGGACTTCTCCCTAAAGGTATAATTGATAATTAATCCTTTAACTAGTTGAGTAAGATCCCAGTCTTTTGACAACATGTCCTTAATTTTTTTTGATACCCCACATGGTCTAAACTTCCAGGTTTACAACATTGTTCCAATTAAAATGTTATGCCCAAAGTCTGTCATTAAGCCATCTTATATGGCACACACTCATTAGATAATTGTCTTGGCCAAATGGAATGACTTCCCCCAGCGGTTTTTGTGGCCTGGCATTTGGCGAATGCGTTTTTCACGCCCCACTGAATCTCACACGGATTGGATTTGAGGCTATATATGGTATATGTACAATATGTACGTATATCTCTTCCCGCGTCTCTTAGCCTTTCTCTGACGATTGTTTCTCTGTAGGCCAGTTGCAATTCGAGTCCAAAGACAACTTGAACTCATTTTCGCTTGCCATTTTAAGTGGTGCCAACTAACGGTGCAACATGCCACAATAAAAAACACAGTCACCTCGTTGTAATCGGCTAACACCACACACAACTACAGTGCTGTCCATAAGTGTATGCCTTGAAAGTATTTCTTTGGAGGCAAAAAGAAAGGAAAATAGTTATTGTTAAATCTATCCTCATCTATGTATTCTTTCTTCTAAAACTTGATCTAATATATTTGTATGATCCATACTGTAGTTTGCACACATACTCGGATGCCTGCTCGCATTATTAACCCATTAAAGACCCACTGCCGCCTGAAATCTCTAGCCGCAATACTTGTATAACAATCGTAAAAAGTGCTCGCAATTCCGTTTATTATTGCTCAGCTCGATCATCACATCATCGTGATCACCAGGCCCGAGCAACCCCAACCCCAACCTCATCGTCATTCGCATTTCTTTGCCGATCTTTGGAATAGCTCACAACGCAACGCAACGCTTCTCCACTTAACCCCTCGTTGCCCCAACCCGCTGGCCGTCTGCGATGTCTGTGATTCGCCGCCGCCGCCGCCGGCAATAGTCAAGGTTAACGTGTTCGCCGTTTAAGCACCGGGCGTTTACCCAATGTCTGAGTCCCCGTCCCCCGTCTCCAAACAATACGCTACGATACGATAAAATCCGATCCAAACTTGGGGACCAAAGATCACACCGAGATCTTCGCACCGTGGAAGTGGGTGAGGCCCCCGGGGCCAGATTAGGGGTTAAGCGTGGGGAGAAAGTTCAAAAAGGAAAGGGATTTTCATCTTATGTCAGCACTATAAAATAGACAAATCAAATGGAAATGATATAATTTAGGATTACAGTTAAAATCATTTTCAAATATCATCTTGAAGTAACAAAGATAAAATCGGAAATGATAAGAAAAATTCTAGTTGTTTTTAGTTATGCTATGTTTTTCCCTTAGTCCTCATTGCTATCTTCATCGGTGTTCCTTCACAACAAGCCTTAATTCATTGGCTTTATCCATGGGTAAATATTTTCTACACCTTTTTAGTAGAAGGATTACTTTGGGAACAATTAAAAAGAACCATATGTTTGTAATCTGAAATGTTCTAGGAAAGTGTTTCACAATATTTTATAAAACATACATAAAATATATCCTTATAGATACTCACTAGTACTTTAAACTTTAAACGAATACAAAGCTATTGTTAGAACACTTATCGCAGGGTAAATATTGTTGTGCATTGTTTTTTAGAATACACCTAATAAGCACATAAAGATATAAAGATTATTAATCGGACTATTTCGAAATGAGTTTTAGAATAAAGGAACGCCTGATAAAGCAAATTTACGGGTTTGCATTTTAAAGTGATACCAACAGATCAGTTGGCAGCTTCTATCATTATCCAATGATTTGATTACAACAAAGTGAAGAGATTGCGTGCACAGGTAGTAAATATGCGGCTAAATGTACATAATATCAAAATAGTTTACCCCTAAATACAGTCAGTCATTTTGATGGCATTTTACGACTCGCAGTTATTGTTTTTGGCTTGGAAATTATTAAATCTTTGTGCCCCTTCTGCTGACCTCAATGGCCACGTTTTGCATACGCATATGCGCAGCCGTATGTATTATACATATTTGATTAATAAAACTCATATTAGTTTACATTAAAGGCGGCTATTGGACTATGCCAAAAACTTCGGACTGACGACGGGATGTTGTGACATACGTGAGCGTGCTGTGTTCGGTCACAATTAACTATCGCGATGATGTTATACGAGTATTATAGTTATACCATTTTTTTTTTTTTTAATTTTTCGTTTTGCTCAAAGCCAAGTTTTTGAGCTCATTAAAAATGCACAAACCAATTGCGAGACGAGTAATTTCGTTCGTTGTCTTGGCACAGGAAGCGCCACATAAAGCCGAAGGTCGTTTTTAAGTCGTGGAAAATTATACTCTGAGTAGTACCTGGGATGCTGTTTGTACCTGACAAAAAAAAATATGGGTCGCCCAATGACGTGATAGCTGGGAATTATACCATCGATTGCGTCACTATAGCTTGCTAGAATGGATTGATAAAAACTAATGCATATTTATGAACAGATATCTAGACAGTTGACTGTTTGGCGATAACTAATTAAATATCAAAGTTCCAACGTTTAGTAATACTTTCCTGGGATGAGTAAATATACACTAGTGACGGGTTAATATATGACCTTCTGGGTTCCCGCGATTCATCATTTTAACAGCTGTTAAATTTATAATTCCCATGCGAATCGATTTGATTTGTTTCTATTTTTTGGGGGTTGCCGCATCAGTGGGGCTGATTAGAACGGCGACTTTCGGCACTCGACCACGCTCATAATCACAATTACAATCAGAATGGGAATGGGAGTCACAGTCACAATCACAATCACAGGTGCGGAGACAATCGAGGCACTCGAGGGAACTCGTGGACGCTGTTGCCGTAGGTAACTGCAAATTGGGCAGCCGGGAATAGGAATAGGAATATAATTGTGGGCCCCTGGACACGCACATCTTATCACTGCCCGGTAACCAAATGTGGGTAGCCTTCAGTTTAGACTCTAGACTGAGCAACTTAAATCTAGCACATGGCACAGGGGTAGAATTTCAGATTTTCTTTTTGGATTCGCTAAACGTTCTGGCTCAATTTTCTCTATAAAATAGATATAATTGGTTTTGAAACAATAGTTGGGCAATCGTTTAAGTGTTCCCAATTATTCAATATAAATTTTCCCTTTGTCAGGTTTGTCTATATAAATACCGACACTTGCGTGTTTCCATGCCCGTAATATGATGGTTAAATTTAGTATTTAAATAAATTTCTACGCCACTCGTATTTTATATCACGAGCGCTTTTTCCATGTACACCGTATGTATGGTGTATACCCATGGATTATCATTTGTCAGTCCGACACGTTTGTCTCACTTATTTAACTAAACTATCTAATCGCGGGCTCTCAAGTGATTTTATGTGCGTTCAGCCGTACCCCTTCTAAGGTTAAGGTCTGCTGATGAAGAGAGATTTAATGCCCTTGGAAAACTGCGTGAAAAATGGCCAGTTTAGAGTTTGACATTAATTTATGGAAGACATCATAATATTAATCTCGGTAAATTATACTCACAGATAAGTTTCTACTTGTAGAGGTGTTATGTTAAGAATTACGATGCTCCCCTTAGTGTGACCAACACCGAAAGTAGAATATCCTTAACTAAAGATCCTTTGCAAGCTAATAAGAAGAACCTCGATCAAACCCTACATTTGTCTATGTTTACCTATTAATCGGATGTACATATATTATAAGCATAAATGTGTATTCTTATATGATTTTCAAGGCTATTTAGAGAGTTTGGCACGTGCGTGGGCCAGCGATAAGCCAAATTATAGGGCCTGTCGTAAAAGCGTTTAAAAACAACGTTTCGGTGGGCTTCCGAGAGTTGAACAGATGGCAAAAGGCGAAAAGTCGGACCGAAACACGCCCAAAACTGGCCACGCCTTATCTAATCGTTGACCACGCACTATGTACTCGTACTAAGCCATACGTGATGGAACTACATACATATGTATCTAAATGTTTCGCACATGTGCTGCGGGTACATATGTAAACAATAACTCGATCCGGCCGATATCATTTCTTCTCCCCCTGATGATCCCATTGGGTCTTTGGGTTTCCAGCTCACGTCTGGGTGCTTAGTGGCCCGGCGTCCTTCGGCTCGGCGAAGTCAACAAACCCACCTCGCCATATGATTTATCTATGCGCGCTTTGAAATTCAATTTCAGCCCGAGGGGCCCCAAATCAGGGTATACGTACGTATGTACAATACTTACTAAATGGGGAGTACATGAGTGTTAAGGAAGTACTCGCGCGCTTTTCACTAAGAGGAAGCGGTTAGCATTTCACAAATCAGCAGGTAGGAAACAGATAAGAAAATGCCGTCGACATTAGAGAGGTCATAAGACCCCTCTGAGTGACGGACGACACTTGACGTTGCAGGAAGACGCAACATGGTCGAGTTAAGTGTGCTCAAATGCGTCAATTTACATGTCCTCAATAGATAGATAGATATTTTACGTTAGGATTACTATACAAATGTTGAGGGGCAAGGATTTCTTGTCTTACTAAATAACTATAACTATGATTGGACCAACCAGTTGATATATTGCCTCTAATAGTGCAACTCTAGGTGTCGTATTAATATTCATACATTCAGCTTAAGTAGTTCCATTCAATCAAGTGGGCTCTTTGTTTATACAGCGTGATAAATCCTAAGCAAAATGTAAATCCCAAAAAGTTCCAAAGTAATCTTCGACAACAGGTCAAGCCAGCTTAAATCCCTAACCCCCCCTGCCCCTCTTTATAAGCCCCCCCTCTAGGCGCTTGGCAACACCCCCCCAACAAAGCCCCTCTTGGGAACTTTAATGATAAGTTGAGAACGAGAATTAAAATGGGAATGGTGAAAATGATGAGCTGAATGCGGAAGCAGAGACATAAACATAAAGCGCTTAATAGGTAGAAGTAATAATAACAGGCGGCACATAATAGTCATAATAAAGAGTGTATAATTGTAATGCGTCAACAGGGGCCCCGGCAACTACCACACCACCCCCTTTTAGGCACGCCCGTTGGGTGGCAACCAAATAAGCTGAATTAGCAAAAACTCGAGGTAGAACCCCGCACACATGCGTCGATTTCCAGTCATGCGTAACCTTCCCTAAATCAAATCACACTATCAAAAATTTAATACGTACAATTGCACTGAAATGTTATCTTTTATATTTGAAAAAAAAAGTATTTGCTATATGTATATACTGTAAAAAGATACATATGTAAATAGTTTCACACAAATTCATATATTATAACAAGTAAACAACGTATTTTATTCAATACAAAATTCATTCTAAAAAATGTCGGAAACTTTTCCCAGTGTAATAACTAATAAAACAGAGAGAGAGAATAATATAGAAACAGCGCGAAAGAGAGGAAATACTCAAAAGCACGTGGCGTTTGTTGATAAGCGTGTGTGCTGAGTATTTGGGATATACGCTTGTGTGCGTAAGTGTGTTACGCTGTTATCAGAAATTTGAATTTCTGAAAGAATATTTTATTGTATTGCTCATGAATTGAGTTACGCTGAAATATAAAAAACTAAAACCATTCATGGAAAAAGTTTTTGTTTTTTGAAATAAAATTGAGAGTCCTCCCAAGACATATACATACATATAAGTTTATATAGCATGCCTCAAAATAAATAACAAGAAATGAGCCAGCGAGATTCGTATTAAATAAATTGATTCATTTAAAACTAACAACTTGAATAGCGAAATATAATTGAATAAATTGATGTAAATATTAAATTGGCTTTTCAGTCTGTAAATACTCCTAACTAGGGATTACCATTATATGTAGGTACCTTTATATCAGGTAAAGGTTAATGAAAATCTCCAAAAACCTATCTCAATTAAAATAAAAATGCATTATTCAGGGATCATTAGTTTATAGAAGACAAGACATACACATGTACATAAAAGAAATAAATATTATTATACTGCATACTTATTTTAAATAAATTCCGTATCTTTCCAATTTTACAGACAAATTCCTTGGGCAGCACAATCCGGGCCATCGCAATAGCACCAGCAGCGAGGCTACCAGCGAGGACATCGACTCCAGCAGGGAGCATCTGAACAAGCCCAAGGGCAATTCGGGCGGTGGTAACGGCGGCAACGGTTGCAACAACCATGTTGCAGGCGTCAAAAGGTGCCGCTCTAAGCGAAATAAGAAATCGTCCGGCCAACATATCCGTAATCCTGACCAGATGGGCCAGAAGGCCGAAGGCCCTGCCTCTATTGTGGGCCAAAAGACCAAGCAGACAACCAATGGCAAGTGGCGCCAACAGCAGCCCAATCCCAACGGCAACAACCCACAGCAGCACCACCAGCAGCAGCAGCATCAGCAGCAGAAGCGTGGTAGCAACAAGAAGACAGGAAAGTGCAGCAGCAACATTGGACAACATCCCGGCAGCAACAACGCCAAGCACGGCGGCAACAACCAGCGCAAGACCTGCGACAGCAGCTCCTCCTCGGCCTTGAGTTCACCCACCAGCTCGCCCACCAGTTCCCCCCATGCCAACGGAAACCGGAAGCGTATTGAGCGCTCCTTAATGCCGGGAGCCGCTCTGGAATGGCGCCGGGAGCGCGAACGCGGTCGCCAGAATGCCAACTTCTTGGTGCCCCCACTCCGGCAGTACGAGCAATTGGATCTGGACGATAAGACCCTGGTGCAGCAGCTCCGGCGACATGTCATCGATCACCATCTGCTAAGAGTCTACGGCTTTCCGGTGGAGTCCGTGGTCCATGAGGGCGCCATCGAGATCTTCAAGTGCCTGCCGCACATGAGTTTCGCAGCGGCCCTGGCGGAAACTGCCCCGGCAGTCACACTGATTAACTGCCACGACGGACTGACCAACCGAGTTGCTGTTGAGGAGGAGGTGGCCACCTCGAGTGACTCCGGCAACAGTTCTCCCCGCTCTCTGGACTCCGAGTCCGGAGGTGAGTGGAGCGGCAGCGAATGCGAGTCCTCCAACTCATCATCATCGTCCGCCTCCTCAACAGGCGATGCCGAACTTAGTCTGGAGCTTAAGTACTGCCAGTACGTCCAGGTGGAGCGCAGTCTGGCCAAGCCGTGTGCCCGCTGCAAGCGTCACTTCCTGGTGGACGAGCTGACGGGCGAGTATTTGACGCGCGAGGAGTGCCACTACCATTCGGGCAAGTACCAACGCTACTTCGATGGCGTCTGCCACGGCCGCTGGACGTGCTGCAACGAGGGCGATGAATCCTCGCCGGGCTGCTGCCTGGGCGATCGACACGTGTGGACTGGTTCGGTGGTGGGCGTCAATGGGCCCTACTACGACTTTGTGAGGACCCAGTACAGGGAGCGGATGACAGCAAACTCCGACGACGAGCCGGCCGTGTACGCTCTGGACTGCGAGATGAGCTATACGGGACGTGGCCTGGACGTGACCAAGGTCTCACTGGTGGCCCTCAACGGGCAGCTGGTGTACGAGCACTTTGTGCGGCCCGAATGCGACATAATCGACTACAATACCCAGTATTCGGGCATTACGGAGCGGGATCTGCGTTCCGGCGCCAAGAGTCTGGCCGAGGTGCAACGGGATCTCCTCGAGCTGATTGCGGCGGACACCATACTGATTGGACACGGACTGGATAACGATCTACGCGCCCTGCGCCTGGTACACAACACCTTGATCGATACCTCGATCAGTTTCCCGCACTGCAGTGGGTTTCCATACCGCCGGGCACTGCGCCACCTGACCAAGGTCCATCTGAAGCGGGAGATCCAGTGTGGTGATGGGACCACAGGACACAGCAGCTTCGAGGACTCGCGGGCCTGCATGGAGCTGATGCTGTGGCGCATCAACCGGGAACTGGACCCCACATGGATCTGGGACGATTAAGGGAGCGGGGCGGGGGAGGATCGAGGATCGAGGATCGATCGGTCCGCGGGGGCGGGGGTTGATCAAACACAATGGGGGCCAGCAAGTACTTTTAGTCGTTAAGCCAGTTTAGGATCGCCTAGTTTGTACTGTATTCAAGAAAAAACACAATCCTAAAATCTCAGCTGGGTCGCTCACCTGGCAATTGGTCTCTATAACACTGATGTATCCGATGTATCCGGGTTATACACCTAGATATAGGGCCCCATTGCCAGGTGCTAGCCCCAGCGTATACATACATATATCAAGTAAATCGCAAAATTGAAATGACAAAAATGGCAAAAAAGCATGCAAAAATAGTAGCATAATCATATATTTATATGCGATACATAAGGTACATTTTGTAAGCGTATATTTATAGAGAACAATAGAACTTTAATCTACATATGTATATACACTAATTGTTTTTTTTTTCTTGATTAATTTCGAACCACGAGAAAATGTACTGAAGTTTTAGCTGTGATGTTTTTTTCACTTTCTCACATATTTACACGACAAACGAAAATGAAAAGTAAAAGCAAAAAAAAAAAAATAGAAAAATACAAAAAACATATACATACGCGCATACATTATTTTTTTAAGAAGCACAGAAGAAAGGCAATCCAAATAATTTTTAATTTTGACCAAAACTTTCAACTAAAATCACTCCATTTATCATAATTTACCATTAGGTTTCGTTCGTTTCGTCCGTTTTAACCCTACCATTTCTTTTATTATTTCACGAATAAAGCATCTCATATACAAATGGAAGCGATGAAAAATTAAAGTTTAACTTTAACTACTTTATACACTATGCATAAACGTAAGTTAGGTTAATCCTATGTTTTTTTCCAAACTCTTTGATTATTTATTTAACGAATTCACGCGACAAGTTCATTGAAAATTTCTTCAAGTGTATAATTTTTCACATTGAACTCCATTTTAGGCTAAGGTTTATTTTTTGTTTTCTCTCGCGAAACTATCGACGATTAACCATTATTCCTTGATTCTAAATGTCAAAATCGAGAGGAGGAATACTTTATGCGAAAATCGATGTTCCTAGCAGCATAAGTTTCAGCACAAATACGTTGCAACAAGCGGATGTTTTATATTGAACGCATAAAAAAAGAAGAGTAATGCAAATGCACAACGACAAAATTTGAAGAGAATAAAAGAAACAACGATTTGTTTAAAACTAAATATCACCTTAAAGCAATGGTTATTATTTTTGGTATGGGAACTGGTACAAGGGGTTCAAATATGTAAACTAAAAGGTAATAAGAAATGGCAAATTGGAAGTCTAAACATTGCCGAAGGATCCCTAGTTGTTTGGACCATGCTGTTGTAAATACACAGCGTAACGAAGGCACATTAACCCGTGGAATAAGTATAGACGTCATACCAGCGAAAATCTCATCGATCTCAACAAGTGGTAATTCTTTGTTGTTGTAAATACAAACTTTTAAAGCTGTTAACAGTGTTAACAGTGTTAACAAGAATACCGGCGCATGTCTCTTAATTTAGATGAATTTATTTACCTTGGACAATCGTGGGTTTTTACTGCTTCACTATATAATACTTACAGACCGCGTTAACTTAGTGCGGCGATCAAGATCAAACCGCATATGTTTCTCAACCGACTGGAGATGCTGGCCCTGCGATGCGAGGTCAGTGGATAAGGAGATATAAGCCCGACCAGACAATATACAAGTACCTACAGGTATATCAGTTTTACGTGCCCCCACATAACGTGTTGGTCAAAGGGAAACTTTGAAGATGCAGCCAAAAAATTATCATGAGATCAGGTTATACCAGGTATATGTGTCTTTTTACAGACTACAGGCGCTGAGATGATCTGTTACATTAAACTGGGATATATAATATATTCCGAAGAACTACAGAAGATTATATTTTCTTTCTTCCCGTTAATATCCATTGTATCTGAAGGTCTAAGGTCTTTCCCAAGTACGGTTTAGAATCAAAACCCAAATCCAAGGAACTTTTAGCTGCCCCGTGCTGTACTTTATCTGCACCTGCGGTCAACAGCTGTAATGCCAACTTGCGGAAGCACCGATCTGTGTGATCAGCTGAGGGTTCTTTAAAAAAAAATACAAAAAGTGTTTGCCCAACTAAGTAATTAGCAATCAGCGAGTGCCTAAGATCAGGTATTTCAGGCATCTGCGTCGCAGAATCCACTTAAGGTATATGCCATATACAAAAATATGTACCGCTTACATCGCAATGTTGGGGATGTGATCGAAAAAGTTATAGTAACAGCTGCAAGTTAACACACAGAGTATCTGATGGTCTGTTTGGGCCAAAGGGTTACCAGCCAACGCTGACGTCAATTTTTGCCAAATTAACGTTCAAGTGCGAAATGAAAATTATGCATTGGTCTGCGTTTCGATGGTGCGATTGTGTGCGTGTGCAGCAGTGAAAGTAGAAAGTGATTCAAGAGGTGGCGGCATGTTAATGATGATGCTGATCTGATGCTCGGCTGATGACGAAATACCGAGGCACTGAACAAAAATTGGATCAATATTTATCATACAAGATGTATAGCTCATAAATATTTCGAACTTTTATTACTTCTTGTCATATCATATGGATGTATATTTATTATAATAGCAAGTTAAATTTAAGAAACACATATACAAAATAAATTTTATATTACTAAGATTAAGATCTTAGTATTCAGAAAATCGATCAGTATAATGCAAGTTGCACCACGCCCCCTGCATTCGTCTTGTCACAAAAGCGAAACCCAGAAAAAATGTACTGATCGATTTTTAATCGATTTAATTTCTTTCCATTGGTTCGTGACTGAAAAAAGGGAGGGGGGAAAATGGGAACTCTTGATGATCATTTGACGGATGAAGGCGATCGACTAAATATAAATTGAACGATCGTGTTTGGCACATTTGTGCGAGAAATCACATCAATTGTTTTAATTGTCTGGTATATAGGCAAAGTTGGGATGTGTGGGGCGATACTATATGCGATCTATAGGTAATGCCGCGTGCACGGAACCCAAATCTATAGCAAAACACTCGCCAGACGCGATTATGCAATCGCCGCCCGAGAATCTGAATCGGGAGAGTCAATATAGGAAAGGCAAAGATAACATCGGGGTAATGTGTGTATTTTTTTCTCACTTAAGGCCTTTGGCCAGACAAACAGTCGACTCCCATGAGTCGCATGCAAAATTTCGCTCAAAGTGAATCAATTAAAAGACCACTTTACAGCCGATACGGAAGATGACACACTTACCGATAACGAATTGCAGCAAAAAATGCACTTAAATTCTACAGATTATAGTGATGTCAAAATAAATAAGTAAAAAAATAAGATTAAAACTCATCTTCAAGCCGGGTTGAATTATTTCTTAGATATATTTAAAACTAATGATTGTTTATTGGTACTATCTAAGCAGATGTCCAGTTAGGCCTTACAAGATGCTGCATACACAAAAATAGCATATGGTCGAGTAAAACACCCATGATTCATGATGCTTGTGTAATAATCCCAATCAGTGTTGAAATTAACCAAATATGGCGAAGACCCGAAATCGAGTTCCCCAAAACGACGATGATGATTCACAGGCGTCAGCATTTCTCAAAAGAAGTCGGCGTCACTAAGATATATTTATTTATTTTTATGCGTTTTGGCGTCACCTGCTGACCCGCCTACCACTTGTTCACGATCAAGATATAGAGTCATAAATTTATGCCCATTAAACTATTTTCACTCTCGATTCTGACGATAGTCGGATAAATATTAAATATCTTAACAAAAATACGCATTCCTATTAAAAATCCTGACCAATAAAGTTACATTTATTCCCTTATGCTTAAAAATGTTCTCAATTGGAAATCAACCCATTTTAAAAGTTAAAGAGCCTACGTTTTTTTAAATGTATTACCAAAACCAATTACTTATTTATTAAGATTGTTCAATTTAGCTGAAACTAAACCAATAGTTTAGAACATGTGACTAAAATTAATATTTTTTAAACAAGTCATAGAACTTTTATTGAACGCATTGAGCTCATTTGGATATCAGTTCCAAGCGTTCGATTTATTTATCTGCGTAGCGGCAGAAATGTAAACAAAATCAACATATTCGAAGTCCAAATGTCGTCATTTCGTGGCATAAAGCTTATATATGATATAGTATGCGTATAGCATAAACCGATGACGCGATGACGTGATAGTTGGCATCGGCTAAGGGAATTTCGCGCCGGCGATTAGCCGTACTCCCCATGACATAATTACCCAAAACGGAGCAATATGAGTGGTGAGATGATTGGCGCCCCATATGGACATGTATCGTATGGAAACGCTAACGGGTTGCGTTTCCGTTCGCCAGCTTCGTTGGTGGGTACACAGGGCGAAAATAGATGCCGCAAATGGTATTTCATATAAATTAATTTTTAAGAAAATATCCCTTATAATAATACGGAATACAAGCAACGCTTCTGGCGCAGTTTAACTTTTGATTTTGTAAGTGATACCAAAAAACCCTTACGATTTTCCCTGTGCAGATGTTTTCCACACCCCGAAGTGAAACCAATTACTGGCCTAATCGAATTGCAATCAAGCATGGAATTGGTCTATTCACAATCATACGTATCGATTGTCTGTAATGCGGGCTACACTTTTGTTTATCAGCTTGGCTGCACATAAAATTCAAATTCTGTGCTTCGATTGCTAAAAAGATACAACCATTATTAATAGATCACTTAAATACATACTAGGCTAAAACTCGTTGATAGACGAACAAATTTGTTTTAAAGGTTGGCGTGCAAAAATAATAATGGTAAGTTAGATAGCGAATTTAAAACGAGATATAATATTCCAGTCTAGATCAAGACAGCACCCTAAGCTAACAATCCAAACCATTTTAAAGATTTGTTATTATAAACAATGAACCAATAGTAATTAAGAACTCGGTAAAAATGGATAATTTATGATTCTTGTAAAAAAGCTCTATTAATGTCGAATTTTTGATTTCTTGGGAGTACTTTGTTTATTTATCGCATTTTTTCTTCACCCAATTTATGTGGAATGGTCGGTCATAACTCAGCTTTTTTTGTTGTGGTCCCGAAAGGGGGGAATTTTCATGTCGGACACATATCGTAATTCTTTACGCTCGCCAGCTGTTCGCTTAGTGGTTTTCGATCAGGTCCGGTCGAATCGGATTTAGCTATGTGAAAAATGCAACGGGTCGCCGAGGAATTTGGAATTTCTTCTCGACTGCACCGTGAATCATCTTGCCTGTGGCACTTTCGCTGGGGGAAAGGTAACCAGTTTTTCTCGTCGTCTTTACAGTTCTTTAAAAGCGAGAGTGTAGACCACAAGCCTGATGACCCCGAATAATGTGGGTTAATGCTCGAAAAATATCACATTTTCTAATTCTTGACGTATGCTTACAATATCTTTGTAAGCCCCATATCATTTTATTGTGATAGTATACATTTTATGTGTGTATATCAACGCTGCATATGAGTAATAAAGGGTTTTAACACAGAAAAAGGTTCCGAAAAGTGAAGATACCTAAAGTTCTGACCTATGGAAAACAAACACCTAGATAGACACTCTGTGCTTCCATGGTGGATCCATCCAATTGAACGCTTAATTCAAGTTGAAGGCTTTACTGCGGTGGCTAAACAAACGCACCTTGGCTGCCAATTTCGGTGTTCATTTTTTTTTGTATTTGTCATGTTTTATCAACTTTGTTGTCTCTGTGGTATTTACCTTGCACAGCCGCAGCTTTTCGACACCCACAGAAATGGGAAAAAGGCAGAAAAAAGAAACGGAGACGGAGGCTAGACGCCACACGTGGGTCGCCAATGGCCCGTGGTGAAAGTTCAAGGCTGTTTGGGTTTAGGGGCTGTGCAACAGGTAAACACGAGGCACAAACAGAGTGGGTATTTTCCTGGCAGATGTGCATGAGTATCGCAGGTTTATTTTTCTTTTGTTTTCTTAATTTTCTGGAGTTTTAAAATTTACACTGCAAGTGATGGGTGGGATTGCATCACATGGCCTGCCCATCTAAGGCACGAAACCAGCCAAGCGAGCTCCTCCTCCTGGCGGTACCACTAGGAACCAGGGACCTGGGTCCCAAGACCGGGACTAACATCAGGTGCCGTCGGAGATTTCCCATAGATTTTAGGCGCCGTTCGTGTTGAACATTTTTGTGTGTTGTCATACTACTTTCGAAATACAGTCAACCCTAACTAAATCGAGTACGTATTTATCTTTTCCTGGAGTTATGTTACCCATATTCTCCTAACTAATGGAAAGGCCCATGCTAGTAAATGATCGCCAAAGAGATATTTTTGTTCTATGCTGTTAAATATTTAACAACAACAAAACAATCGAACAATATACCCAAAAAACAGATAGGTAGGTTTTAATACCGCTAAAAAGAATACCAGCGGCCGTCTTCAAATTAAAGTATAGATTCAAGACTAAATAATATAAAGTCTATACTTCACAGTTTCATTTCCATTTCAAGAGTCTAGAATTTAGATTTGTGGTATTATTTTTAAACCAAATAATTTAAATTGAATACTTTGGGAACAATAAAACTTAAGAAAGTTGTCTTTAAATAAAAATAAAGAAACTGCTGAGGTTCGACTGTATTACAGAAACCATGGCTCGTGGGCTGCGGAATGCGCGGCAATTTGTCTGCTGGCACTACTGATACCGCTGCGATGTTGCTGCCTCGTTGCATGCAGCATGCCATGTCCACGTCTATGCATACGTATATGTACCACTTCTTCTTACATGACGTGGGCGGCAGCATTTCCTCGATGCGGTGCACCCAACCCAAAATGCAAACCCGGAAAATGTGCAAGAAACTGCAGCACGAACCACACCACTCCACGCCGTTATGATTGAATAATTACGGCTGGAAATCGAGAAAACTGCCAAGTTCAAAAGCTTGTTCGCCGGTTTGCTTTTGCTTCGTTGCTATAATTGTAATTGGTTTATGTATGTATGTATATAAATGTATGCTTCGATCACTTTTTGGAGCTTAATCGTACAAAGTCTATATGTACATGGTGATAGCGCTAGGCTGGATTAGACATGGCGATTAACAGCAGTGCTTAATGCGTGATGCATAATGCGTAATCGTAATCGTAATGCTTAATGCTATGCGAGTCGTACAAAACAATGGTTATGGTTATCGATTAGAACGAGAGACAAATGTAACAGGCGCTGCCACCGGGCATCTAAAACGAATCGAGCGAAGCTGGCGCGTTTTGGAAGATATATGTATCTGTATCTGGTATCTGCATCTGCATCTGACTTTGTATCCGTATCCTGACTTGCGTATTTGGCCTGAGAGTTGCGCTTGAGGCCCCAGCTTCTGTTAGTTGCTGGCGGCGGTCGCCGACGCAGCCGTCTGCTGCTTAAAGATCACTCCCGTGATCTCGCCATCCTTCTGGATCACACAGCGTCTGCAGGGGTAGAAATGGGCATTGACTTGACAATTAAAAAAAATATGTGGGCCACCTAGGTCTATGCCAACAACAAATATCTTACTATCGTAGAGATGAAAAGAATGTAAAATAAAATCCTACTCCTAATATTTAAGTGGTAATTATTTGAAACTGTGATCATATTTCATATTTAACATATGAAATAATTCTGTAATATCAATTTCTTTTGAAATATACATACATAGTTGAATTAAGTAAAGCTAACAAGTAAGTCCTTCTACATAAACACTGTGCAACAAATAAAAGATTTCATATTTATAATATGAAATAAATAATAAAATACTGTCTTCATTAAGAATACAGATGAAATAGACGAGGCCAGCACTTCTGGAAACTTGAGGTACACTATCAGTACAAAATAGAAGTATCAGCATAAATACGGTTCAACAAATATAAGATTTCATAAATATCATATGAAATAAAAAGTTATTCCGTTAGTTGAAAATACATTCGAAATAGATAAAGCTAACACTCCTTGGAACTTGTTGTGCTACCATAAGAATCAAGTAGAAGTACCTATAGATCCAGGTACGCCTGCCTATAAAGATTGCTTATCTACAAATAGCATAAACAAAAAATCCTTGTAATTTGATTGAAAATCTATAAAATGATGATGCGAACTTGTTGTTCCACTGAAAGTATCAAATAGAACTACCTATAGCCTATAGGCTTTAGGTACGCCTAGTTCTAGTACTTCTCTACAAATAGCATAAACAAAAAACCCGTGTAACTTGGTTGAAAAGGTATAAAATGATAAGATTTCATAGACGTAGTGGAAGGCAAAGCTTCTCCGAATAAGTTCCCAACTCTTAAGCTAGGCACACCCACTGCGGTCCACCCCATCGATAAGGATTCTCCACTTACTTGTTGCCGCTGTACAGGCAGATCGTGGCCGGAACCGTGGTATTCGGCTCCAGTTTAGCCACCTGCTCGGAAATGGCCATTCCGATGCCGGATACGTTGGGGTTTATGTTTCCCTTGGCTGGAATGGAATGGTCCATTGGCATTATGGCAACCGATTAATTAGACTAAAGAACAATGATACTCACTGCCCAGACACAATCCCTGACGATTCGCCAGCAAAGCACCCACCGTGTCCTGTCGCGCGGCGCTGCAATGAGGTAATATTGGTTATTAGCAGAGGTCTTCATGCTCCGCGGGATCCCTACATTTCCGCCAAGACCTCCTCCAGTTGCTGCTCCATGGGCGAGGCTTTTAATTCGCAACGTAGAACACCAAGTGCAGTGAAAAGAAACAAAGCAAGAAAATAACCAAAACAATGGCTAGTGTGACCGAACACGGAAAAGGTCAGGAATACCAAAAGGTCCAGAGCAAAAATACGACATACAGTGGGCCTGATGTCAAAAACATCACTCAAATTAAAAAATTTAACTTTCATTTATTACATTTACTGTTCGGCAAGAAAAATTACCAACCATCAGTAACAACACACCCTCTTCTGTTATCAGTAATTTTGTGTATATTGTATATAGTTTATTCATAGCATTTTACATAAAAAATACTCCAAATGAAGGGGCTGTGACGAAGCGCACGAAACAAAACAATCGCCAACTACAACTAATTGCCTTTCATTTATTATATACCGTTATACGCAGCGCTTGGAGTGCACAAAATTAGTTTAATTAATTGGTTTTTATGATTTTCTGCAATTGTTTTTTTTTTTTGGAATTACTCGCTTTGAGAAGCTGTTCGCGCCATAAATATCCGAAGTTTGAAAAATATAAAAATAATCTTTAACATGCTGCAGCAGTTGAATCAATCATATCGTATCGCATCGAATCGCCCCGGAAAAATAATGGATTTCTAGGTATATTTATGTACTACTTAGGTGGGCGTGGCCAGCGGCGCGGCCTACACGATCTCGTACTTCTCCACGAAGAGAATGGATTCGCTCGAATACTTGACCGCCGCCTCGCTGTCCACTTGCACCACATCCTGGGCGACGACGCCCGCGTACGGCGTTTTCGAGACGAAGGACACCTGCAAGGGGAAGAAATCGCCCGGAATGGAGGCACTGCAGCTGAACTCCATGGAGCCGGACTTGTTGGCGGCATCGATGATGGGGATGTGCCACTGGAGCACATGCTTGCGTGAATCGTAGTTGTAGGTTCCGTCGTACTCGGCCACCGAGGGCTGAACATTCATCCTGTAGAGTAGCGAAACGAATGAGTAATCTTATTGCGATTATTAACAACCGTCTACTCACGGCAACGGGATGACAATGGCCACGTCCTGCAGCTCCAGCTGCTGCGCCTCCAGCTCGTACTCGATGTTCACATCGCATCCGCCCTCTCCATTATCCGATGGCCAGCAGTTAACTGGAAAAGAGCGAGAGGCACAAGAACGTGAGTGAAGGAGAGCCAAAGTGCGGTCCAGACGCGGACTTACTGGTTAATGGAATGGCCGACTCGTCCTGCGAGACGAAGCGCCACTTGAGCACACCCACGTCGGTGTTGAGGGGGAACGGCTTGCCCAGGTTCTTTAGCCCAATAGTGGTGCGCGACTTGAACAGCTCCTTGTCCACGTTGGGGTGGGTCTGCAGCTGCAGGCCCTGTGTGTGGTTGGGGGACAGCTTCAGCAAGATGCGGCCGTAGGCCTCGTCCGTGATCCGCAATGTCAGCAGGCCGGAGTTCTCGAACTGCTGCACACCGCCATCGCGTCCCAGACGCACCACCAACTTGTCCTCTATCTTCAGATGCACACTGGAAGGATAGGTTCAGCATTAGATAAAGGGCTAGCAAATCAAGAGGAAACCTCCAACCTCTCCTTGTGAATATCCGCCGAAATAGCTGCCTTGGCTGCTGCACTGGCGCTGGCTGCAGCACTGGAACTTCCTGCGGACGCCGCCGGTGCCAAATTAGCAATCTTCTCACCCTCGCTCTTCAGCTGATCCACAAAACTGTCAACGTCCTTGGACTTGCCGCCCAGCTTGAGGGCATTGCGCGATGTTGGTTTACTGCTGATGAAATAGCTACAATTAACCGAGCAACCAGATGAAATTAAAAGGGAGACTTACGCAGCCGCCTTGGATTTGGTGTCCACGTCGATGGAGGTTATGCCGATGTTGGCGCTGGAGCCGCCGGAGCTGCTGCTAACGCCACTGCTGCCGAAACTGTCGGCGCTGAAGCCGCCGCTGCGTCCGCCCATGCCGCCCAGTGAGGGACCGCCCCGCTTGCTGGCCTCCATGCGCTGGCGCTGCAGCTCCTTGGCCTTCTCGCGCATCTTCTGGCGCGCCTCTCGCTCCTGCGTCTGCCGCACTGCTTGATAGACCTTCTCCTCGTGCGAGTCCATCTCCACGAAGGTCTTAATCTGGGCCAGATTGACGCTCTCCCTGTAGCCCAGCGCCACGATCTCGTCGAAGGCAAATATCAAGTTAAAGGCGTTCTCCACGATCTCTTTTTCGTCCAGGGAGTGGCTGTACTCGGGAATCTGTTTGCGGGTTTTATGAGAGGATGACAGTTTAAGCACTTCGTTTTGTGGCCACGAGTCCGGAACTCACCACTTTCGAGAAGAGGCGCAGCGTCTCCAAATCCTCCAGAATGTTACTGGCCTTTGTAGTGATGAGCAGCATGTAGAGCTTCTCCATCGGCTGGTAGACGTAGCGTACGGAGTCCGTCTCCACGTAGGTGTGCTGCTTGCCAGCGGTCATGAGCTTGGGAAAGGCGGCCAGAAGTCCCTCGATGCGTGCCTTCGTCATCTCGACAAACTGACGTGACAGAATCACTGTGCATAGACGTTATTTGTTATTAACATGGATCTGTGTTTCAGGGAGAGATCTGCAAGCCAACTCACCTTTGCCGTTCTTCGTGCAGACTGCCGCTGCAATGAGTACCTGCAAGTCGGATATGGATATGGATATGTAGGTTTAATGACAATTCCGGAACACAATATCCCCCAATCCGATAAGCCCCAAAATCGCCGACGTGTATGTGTGTGCGTGTGTGCGGGTCGGAACTCTTACCATTTTGCTGCTGCGCTTGACGTTTTAGCCCTGGGAGATACTTCGCGGATCGGATGCGGACGGCGCAGGATAGACTGCTGCTACGGATCGGAATTGCGGGGCGCTCGAAAAGTTGTTTTTCAATCAATCCGCGTAGCTGACGTGTTCGGTTCTGCGACAAAATGTTTACGCTGTGTGTGTGCAGTGCGGTGTGACCAGAGCATCTGCGAAAACTTACCGTAGATACGGCAACTATGAGCCAAGGCGACGGTCACGGGATACCCTGGAGATTCCTATTTTTACTTGACAAAGTTTTCTTTCATCAAATTCCTTGCGGGCTGTGTCAAAACTTATTTACTCACCTTAGAAAATTACACCCATCCAATAAATGAATATAAGTTATGTGAGTTTATGTTATACAATATATACTTTTAATGTTTCGACACATTTATTTTTCTAGTTGAGTTACACACATGTATAATATTTGAAGACCAAAGCTGTTAGTGCTTAAAACTTATAAATTGTTTATATATAAATATTTGAAGTCACTTCAAATCAAGCATACCCTTAACTTTTACAGGGTGTATTATTGTAGCCTGCACACTCTTCCCTTTTCCAACACCGCCAGCAAACACCGGCTATTCAAGAACGTGTTACGCAACACTGAATTTTAAACGTCCGTTGAATTTCAATGCTTTAATGGAAACTTTGTTTTTGATCAAGTAAACAATATAAACTATAAAATAAAATACATAAAATAAAATACATAAAACAAAATATACATCTGTAATCCTTATTTCGGTTTTCAACAAACTGAGTTTTGATCGGATTTTCCCATATCTTAAGGCTCAAATAGCGTAATGCTAAAAAAAAAACTGGTCAAATCCTTAGCTTTTTATAATCCGTAGTCCAGTTAATTGGACTAGTCGTCTAGTGTCAGCGTTTTCACTTGGCTGGCGATCGACGCCGCTGTCTCCCCCGCCGGCTGACCCTTCTGCTTGGCGTACTCCACGCTGAGGATTCGCATAACCTGAGCGGCGGTCAAGTTCTCCCGCTTGTGCTTCTGAAAGTTGTCCTTGACGAACTTTGCGAATCCTTTGGCCTCACCCGCCGGCGTGGACACCGTATTACCCTGCTTGTCCTTTTTGTTCAGGAACAGGGTGATGGGTCCACGGCAGATCCTGCAGCGCAAGTCCTCCACCTTACGGGAACGGGAGTGCGCATGTGATCTGTGGTGCAAAAAGGAAGCTCAATACATTAATATCCTTTATAATCTCGCTATGAACACTCACGATTTGTCGCAACTCAGGCACTTGTAGGTGTACTTGAACTCGATATTGTAGCTGTGGCAGACCTTTATCTGCGGCAGATCGGGAAACTTGTCGTTGGCCCGTTGGGCCCACATCTTCCACACCCGTCCGTGGCCGCCCTCGCCATTGAATACCCAGGCCGCGGCATGGCACAGTTCGTGTATCAAGGTGCAACGTAGACGATCCGCCGTTGTCAGAACTTTGACGCTCAGTTCCACCACGCTGCTGCGCTGGTTAAGTCTAAAGATGGAGCAATATTTTGGTTTTAGTTGGATATTCCAACTATCAGGGTCTAGAATCACTCACTTGCGCTTGTTCATGCATCGTCCTGCTGTGTTGCGTAGTAATTTGGACCAGGTGATGGGTACATCCAGCTCATTGTTGAACACCTGGGCGTTGAACATCTTGTAGAGATGTTGGGCCAACTGATCCTTGTTCTTAGCAAAGTTCTCCCGATAGAAAAAGGCCTCATTGTCCGCTCGATCTCGACTCACTTGTCCCTCCAGAGATTTCAGGAAGCTGCATTTGCCGCTGGTCAGGGTTGGTAGTAGTTCCTTTTGCTTCTTGGGCTTGCGGGCAGTGGATTTCGGTGGGGCGGTGGTTTTGGGCGGAGCAAAGGCCTTTGGCGGCGCAGTTTGTGGGGTAAGCAACTTGAGGATCGGGCTCTGCTGGGGCGTTGTCTGTACTTGCTGCCCAATGCCCAGCTTCTTCTTTACCTCTTGCAATCGCTTATGGACAGGAGTGCCGGGCAGGTAGTCGTTCTCCACTTCATCAAGCATGTCCAAGTCCAATGCCTTGTCCACTATCGCCCTAGCCTCGATCTCGTCCTCGAAGCCAGCGTTTGGTGTAAAGAGTTGGCGGCGAGTGATGGCCTGAGGGGCAGGCGTCGCAGGAAGTTTAGCTTTAACACTGGCTCGACAAGAGCGTAGTATATCGTCCAGTCGACGATGAGTCTTGGGCGCTAGAAAAAGTAAACGAATTTCTTGAGCATGGTAAAGAATGGATTAAAATTACACGTTCCTCTTACACT